TTTTAAATCCCCTTGAAACACTTCTTTAAAACTTAATGTTCTGTAATCTGTTTATAATGCAAAAACCTAAACTGCAAGACGAAATCACTGGACAGTCTCTTTCTAAAAAACATTTTATTAAAATTCAGTTTTGTATAAAACAGGCATTGACTTGCGTATTTTCTAATAACCCATTAAGAGAAGTTTCAAATCAAGCTTTAAAACGTGTTATTAACCATCTACCCAGCCATTTGAAAGATACATGCCTGCGATAAGAGTATTGTATTGCCATTAACCTGTGGGATGGTTCGAGACATCTCTTATTCACACAAAACTCTAAATGCATCTAATTAAAGCCACAAGATCGGCTGTCCGTATTAATCACTCACCAGTTTAATTAAGGTAAACCAGCTTGTCAGAAAGCCAGTCTTCTCTCTATTCTTCACCATTATCGACTTTTAATAGTTCACTGGATTAGTAATTACTTGTTTATGGCATTATCAAATACCTGGGACAGAAAACCACAGTATGTGCCCAGGAAACTGAGTTAGGCCGACTCTTGCTTAGGACGTGAGGGAAAATTTACCCCATCAGATAAAGTTCTCTAAAAAGCCATATGGTGTGATTTAGGCACAGGTACAACTCAGAAGAGAAACAAATTGAGCTAGAAGTGTCTTACCAAGAGATTCAGACTTGTGAGTTTATTTTGTGGTTACTCGGATTGAAGCAGGCGTTCTGAACACTAAGCTAGGAAGAAGGAAGTTAGTGAGATTTCTTGCTCACTTGTGCACGTGGCACACCGAGTGTGCAAGGGTGGGGTGTCCCCACAACGGACAGCAATAAAGAAAGTTACAAGTCCTACAATTAAACGTTTTTTTTTACAGGATCATCAACTCCTTTCCTAAGAAAGCAGGGGGTAGAGAAGGAAGGGAGCAAGCCTTCTTGCTCGCTATTCAAGCATGCTCACCCGGGGAGTAAATCCCAGGCGGTAACAGTTCATCTCAACGTCACGCAGCAGCGGAGGGGTGACAGTCCCCTCCAACCGGCCGGCAGTCCTGCCTGGCAAGCTGCTGCCCTCCCTCCCTCCCTGCAGTCTTCGGTGTTTCCTTAAACGCTCCCCATCCCCTTTGGCTCTGCTCAGCTTCTGAAGCCGTGGTGATCACAGACAAGACCGATGATGGCAGGTTGTTATAAAATGTGATGGCGTACAACATAACCAAAATCAGGGGGAGGAGGGGGCAGGAGAGCGGAGGAAAAAAAAAAGGATTATGTATATTCCTAATTCTCCTTAGGCATACCTGCTGCCATCAATGATGAACATTTGTTCTGGGAAGAGCTGCTACCAGTGGAACGCTTAGCATATGAACACTAACCTAATTCCTGTCGGAAATAAACCAATTTCCACTCTCTTCTTTACCAGAGGAGTATTTCAACCTAATAATAAAATCTCCACTGTAGCATGTCAGACCAGCAGCTCTCTGGTAGCAGGCTGGATTTTTAAGTCTTAATGCTGCAATATCAGCTGTAATGAATTCTACGTAAATATGACTTCTAAAAATAAAAAGCCTTCTTCTTCCCTTAAAACCATGTCTGAAGGAAAGTTTAAAAGAAAAGAAAAAGGGGTCTAGCCTCTCACTGCTGTCAGTAATGAGGATCCTTCTGAAACAGTTTAACTATTCCCACCCAGTGTAACCCAAATAAAAATATTTCACTTGCATTATTCAGCTCAGCTTTACATCACCATTCAACATGGGCCACCACAATAAAAATTATAACTGCTTATAAAACAAGTGAAGAATATGAGAAAAGGCAAAGTGAGAGGAACAGACAGAACAGAGTTAAATCCTGAATTGTCATAAAAATTCCACCAACCCCACATGGTGAATTCCACTGAATACCAAGACCTGAACAAGAAAATTGCTCTTCCACTGGAAAAACAGATTCATTAAAGAGTTTTGTACTATAATCTATAACAAAACGGTATAGCTGCTTATTCCGTTATCATTAACTTGTGCACATTCATCAGATCTTGATCACTTTTACTTGCTTGATTTCACACTGAAATATTCAGGAAGTTGGTTTCCAATGTCCTTTATCTGAATGTTTACCTTTAATAAACCATAAGCAGTAATCAAAAGAAACTAAACATTACAAAATGTTACTTAGAAAAACAAAAGTAATACTAAAAAAAGTCTGGATATAAATTTAAATACGAAGCAAAAAACATCCATTGAAACATACACCTATACTTTGCAATAAGTATTATGCACAGAGGTCAGAGTTTCTGAGCAACCTCAGCTCCGACCACCAGAGACGTTGCTGCCGATTACTCCTGAAGAACCAGTTCCCTTTCTACATTTTATTTATATATGTACATCCACACACGCACACAAAAGCACTGCACAGTTATGACCCATCTGAAAGAAAACACATTCACTGTATTGTCAGCACTCTATTGTAATGCACTCTACCCCTCCTGAATGCAATGTTCAGCTTCAGCTTACCACCCTGACAAATAAAGGAAAGCACTTTATGAAACCAATTTAATTGGGAGGTGACAGAAAACATACAGCCATTTTCTTTAGCCTTATCACTGAATTGGCTTCAGCTCCCAGCTCTGCCAAATCCCACTCAACAGAAGACATTAACCAGGTCAGCAGAACAGGCGCTGCACAGGGGCTGGCAACGGGCTGGCATCCCCACAAGTACTTGCACACAAAGAAGCAGTAATCTTTACAGATCATCTCGCCCAAGAAGCATACCGGGGACGGGAGGAGAGGAGAAGGGTGGAAGGGAGGGAGAGAAGGAGGGAGGAAGGGATGTAAAAAAAAAAAAAAAAAAAAAAAAAAAAAGACCAAAAAAAAAAACAAGCAAGAAAGGAAAATGAATGTGTAGCTGCCTCGCGGCTCAGCAGATGTCTGTGCGTGATGTACGAGGCCAGGATAAGCTGTCGTAGCCCGCTGCCAAAGAGTGGTAAGTGATTAAAGCCTCCACAGGGCTAAGCACCATATTTAGAGTCTATGGGGTTTCGAAAGTTGCACCCATTCCTTGCTGTGCTGCCAGATGTTGTTGGCTGGTCCTGCTCCTATTCACTGCGCGTGGGAGGCAGCAGTTGGTACAGCAAGGAATGCAATCTGGAACGCTTCCGGAGGTGCCGTACATTAAACCGGTGTCACCCATCCTTCACCTCTACCGAATGCTGAAACAACTCCAATTTGCTGCCACTTCCCTCTTGGGAAATGGCCAAGATACAGTTGTGCCTGGCAGACCCATTTGTTTTACTCAGGTGATTCTCTTCCCTCAATGACCTCTATTAGTTTAAGTTTTAATTTAGATTAACCCCGGCACCCCAATTAACCAGTGAGGGGAAAAGCTAAGCTGTGACTAGTCATATTTCTGAAATCACGATTTATCGAAGTTAAAGTTATTAGAAGGAAAGACGGGCCATTCATCTATGGCTATTTTTCTTCTAAAAATTTTACATCTCATGGCCAATAGGCACCTTCTCTGCACCGGTCCACGAACTGTCAATCACAGCTATTTCTCCTCAACCACTTCATGATTTTGTTAGACTAACTTAATTTGTTCTGTGTTCTTAGGGTCCACTCGGCCCCCAAAGCTGGGCTTCTGGTCCACTTGGCCCCCAAATTCCAACTCAGTATAATCTCACTGCCTTACAGATTTGGCCTCTTCCACCACTGCTGCCAACAAGACGAGCACTCTCCAGTTGCCATTTCAGAGCCTACACAGATGAACCTGGCATCTTCATGGGCCCAAGAGATGCTGCTCGATTCCGAGCAGTACTAGCAGAGGTGCTCTTCCAATAAACACACAGTCTAGAGAGGAGCTACCTTGGAATACAATCCTGGCTCTGAGGCAGGCTGCCTTGAGTAGATCGCTCACAAACATTAAATATTCAGATTGTCCTAATTCTGCACTAGGTGAGGTCTATTGCAAAAATTTTCTTGGACATCTACAGTAGTAAGGTTGGAAGTGTGTTGAAAACCTTCTTGGAAGGGAAAAATAAAGGGCGGCATTAAAGTTCTCAGTATTTCTTACCCATAAAACACAGGTAAGAATTACCAGTTTAATACATCTTTTTATTCCCCTTCAGTCCTGGCTTTGTATATGAAACCCCAAATTTTGGAAGTATTCAAAAGCTTCTGGTTAAATCAGTTATCAGAGCACAGTCACGTGGCAACAGCTCTCTTCCACTGCCCTAACACTTTACTAGACACTCCGATAACCATTCAGACCAGAAATTTCTGCCTTTCTAACGATATAATGATACTCGTTTAGTCCTGAAGTTAAAGCTCTCTGTGGATTGTCAGAGAAAAACTAGTTTTTTGTGCATTAGGGAAGGACTTACAGTGAATCATACTCCTCAGCAAATGGCAATTTCAGTATTTCATAAGGCTGGCGTTGTCATTTATTAAATAAATTACCAACACAAGGTTTCCCTAAGCTGCAGCCTCCATGCGCAGGGTGCAGATTCCTTGTTTCTAAGAATTTTGCAAATAAAAACTGGCCTAAATCCAAGCTGGCAGAACCCCAAGAAAAGTGCTAGAGAAGCCCTGCAGCTTTTTCATTCAGTAGGTAGATGAGATGATTTAGGTAGAGACGAGAGTAACTTAGGTGCTTTTGAGGATCTACTAGAATCATTTTTCATAATGGGACTGCCCACAGAGAACAGTCACCTTTAGAGAATTCAGTAATTTTTCTCTTGTGTAGCAATGTTCACCAGCAAGAACAACATCCTGCAGCCCTGCCTCACTCGAGTACAGCAGTGCCAGTAATGGCAGGAAGTTTACACCCACGATGCAAGTTTAAGCCCACATGGCCCTATACTGAAAGCTGAGAGCAAAGTCCTCTGAGGTATCTACCACGATTTTGGATGTTAAAACAGCTAACTGAGTTTCACTGGTAAGAGAATTTTAGAGCACAGAACCAACCGCATTATCTCTGTAAGTATTAAAAACGAACCGGAGCCGTAATTCTAACACAGATTTACCATCACCTACCTGGTGATAAAAGTCATCATCATCAAATATCTCCTCATCTATGTCCTTCAGGTGCCTGTTGGAATCTGACTGAGGGAGGACTTCCTAGAAGCACAAAGGAAATACTGAAAGCTCATATGTGCGTATTTCTCTCCCTAACTCTGATGACATCACATGTAGCAGCTTGTAAACACACTTGAAGATATGAAGGAATGGAGAAAAGCTCCCGACATAACAAGCTTTTAAGGACTAGGAATACATTTAAAGGCAAAGCAGAAACGCTGCCAATGACAAAATAGATTTATGATACCTTTACTGGGAAATAAATAGGACTGTGCAAAGTCTTTCTGGCAAAATACTACAGATATTCTTAATGTAATGGCAAAAATATATCTTGCAAGTGCAGTAATTCTACATGATCTCTCAGAATCGAGTATTTATTCATTCTTAAATACTAAATTAATAACAGACTTACTACTAACAAATCCTGTAGGTTGTATGCAGTATGATTTTAGAAGTGACTTTCTGGGTTAAAGATTCTAAGCTCCAGAGTAAAAACAAAGTTTTGTAGCCAGTACCTCAAAAAGCAAATTTAGCAAGCATCACTTCCTACATCACAGGAGGGGCACAATCACAGACCAAACCTTATTTTCCTCTGTCAAGAACTGGCACAGGAGATACTGCAAACACCATAAAACTGGAATTGAAATGTCTGTATCTTTTTCTTAGCCATTACATTACAGGAATCAACACTCAGATATCTCCTTCATAAATCTCTCACAAACAAGAATATTACCTGCTAAAGGCTCAAATTAATTGTTTTGCAGAGAGTTTCACTGCTACTACAGGCTGAGTTATATAAACAAAATACCCTTACCGAATTTTCAGGCAAAGATTCAGGGGCCGGATGAGATTCCTGTTCCTGCTTTCCCAGCACTGTATACACTGATCGCTTGGTCTGTGTCCTCCGTAGTAATCTCTCTTTGTCCATCATAATATGATCAATCTGAGTCAAGATTGAACGCTCAAAGGCACTGAAACCCTGCAACAACATTAACTAGTGTCAGATAATGCAGAAAGCTTTTCCTCAAGGCAGCAATGTTCCTCTATCTTTCCATGTCAGTGGATAAGCAGACAGCATTCCAAGAGGAGGGGGTTTGGGTATCATTGCAGGGATTTCTGCTAGGATTTTTTATTTGTTTCTCTCTCCCTTCCCAACCTGAGGCAACCTGACGCTTGGCTTAATAAAATGCCTTTGCTGTTCTGGTTCAGATGAATTTCTCAATGATTAATACTAACTCACAGATGTTAGGAGACCCTGGATCTTTGGGTGAAATGATTACCCATTGTATTAAAGTGTACACTTCATGGAGAAGGAGAACCACAGAAGCCCCTAGTTCTGTTATAAAACACAAACAGCTTGTTGATCAGCAACAGTGGCATTTTCATAGAGCTTACTTGCTGCTGGTGACTGGCTATGATAAGATGTCTGGTTGGGAGAACACCACTACTATCCAAGAGTTTTTCCCAAAACTCAGAAAACCATTTGTGCCTGAAACATTTTTTCCTGCCTGTCTGCTTAAAACAAAAGGGAACAGCTTATGCCTTTGAAATTCGAGAGCTGAGTTTGAAAAACTCTTTGAAGTTTGGGGAAAAGCGTGTACTTGTGTATGTAATTCTTACTGCTGTAACTCTCGGCTTAACTTGGAACATCCATGTTATGAAACTTTCAAATCAACTTGTTCCACAAATCTCTGCTAAACACCGAGTATGTCAGCATACAGAAGCAAAGACTTGCCTTGCCCATTTTGCCAGATGCCAGCTTTATCTTGTCGTGCCACTTCTGCAAGACGTTGTTCCGATACGGCCTGAAGTCAGCGTACCGCTTGGCGATGAATTCTGGGTAGTCCTCCATCTTTAGCTTTCGTTTGGGGAGGCTCCTCCTCTTCTCCTGTGCCTTATCCACTTGCTCTTCATCGCTACTGCTGGGGATTTCATCATCACTAGAACAAAACATACGCAGACTAAACACCCTACACCTCTCAAAGGCAACGTGTGAATTCTTAATGGCCCCCCCGCTACCCCCCATTCTTTTTCCACACCATGGTGATATTTATGGCAAAAGACCCAGAGTTTAGCCCCACCTCTGTTATCAGAAGGATTACAAAACAGACTTCCCACACCGGCAGAAGGAATTCAAAGGGTCATTTGGCCAGAGTGTCTGTCACTCAGATACAGCAGTAACTGAGAGAAGAACAGAGTGAGCATGGTCAGGAAGGCTGTGCGTCGCCCTGTTTGTTGGAGAGCTAAAGACAAAAGGATTCAGAAAGGTCTTGTCTTATTTTGTATTTACCTCTCAGTTTTTGATTGCTTTCCATCTACCAGATGCCTTGTGCCCGGGTATTGATAAAGCAGCTCATCCTGAAGGTCCACTAATACTTTCAGCAATGTCTCCAGGGCTTTACAACCTGCAGAACGAGACACAGGTGACAATCTGCCACTGATCCTTGCTTCTGGTGAAGACTTAGCTTTGCAGTGCTTAGTTTCTCATCTTGAATCTGAATTTCTGCCACAGCTACTGCATGTCCCATTAACTGCTCTCCTCCAATCAGTTAGAGATGTGGTTTTATCTTCAAACTGATTTATAGCTGTTAATGCCAAACACCATCATGCTGGGAAAGAACACTTCTTTCCTAAAAAGGGAGGAAAGGAGGCAGGACTGCCTCCTAAACATCTGTCTGGCTGCATATCAGGAGTATGCTCATCTAACGTTTCATCGACAAACATTCAGACTGCAGAGTCTAAAGGATTAACATATTGAAGAAGCAAGTACTGTGTGCAGAAGTGTCTGATGGCACACGCATACAACAACAACCTTTTTTGCTGACTCACTCGTTTCTCTCCTGTGTTAAGTTCTGCCGTAGAGGCCAGCTTCAGTTGAATAATATGAAGTAACAGGAAACAACACAAGGGAAAATGTATATATGCACATCCCATCTCAACTTGACCCCTGACTCTTCTTTCTTGTACATAATGTGCATGTTATAGGGAGCAGAAGGAGGGAAGACAAGAAGAGAAACCAAACTCCCGCAGGGCTGTGACTACCGCTGTGCTCGCCACGCAGGAGGTGTAAGAAATTAGATTGTAAGTAAAATTAAATGTACCAAGATCTGATCAATGGGGGAAACTTAAACAATGACCTGGCAAGTTTAATGAGAAGATTCTGATCAGAAAAGCAGCACAGCGGGCCCAGAGATCCTTAGAAAGAGAGAAAGTGAAGAAAAGATTGGGGTGGAGAGCTGTACAAAATGATCAATACATGGTGTGAAGGTTAGTTTTACAGGGATGAGTAGTTGCTTTCCAGGGTATCTGCAGGCACAAATCTTGAATGTAGATCTGATGCTGTATATCCAAAGGCTTTTGAAGCAGACAATTTTCCTGTATCTGTGCAGACGCAGAGGAAACTATCTCTGTTCCAATGATTTTATGTTCTCCAAGGACACACAGTTGCAGCTGACCATGGGAAGGGTTAACTGCACACTGTTGCAGCATCTGTTCTTCAAAAATAGTTCTTTTGTGGCAACCAACAAGCCTCCCTGCAGATCGCTCTGATATAAAACAAGTGTTTGTCTAGGCCTATACAAACTCTCCCTTTGTACTCTGCTACACATCAATCACAGGGTCAGCTCTTACAGGTAGAACACTTAGCACGCTTCCATCCAAAAACCTAAACTGAACTTTACACAGATTCATTTATATTTACCCGACACTGGTATATTGCCTTGTACGTTTACAAAGAGGCACCACAGAAAGGGGAAAAAAATGCACCACTTGAAGGAAGGTAGCACACCGCTCCAGGATCTGTTTTCTTGCAGGATACGTTCACACAGGCTCGGCTTCCCCCCCACACCCCCGGAACACGCATCCTCACGGGGCAGCTGTAACCCTGGCTGACACAGCACCTGGATTTGTCCGAAGGGCAGGAGGAGTGCTGGGCAGTGGGACGTTCCCCAGAGCCTCCCCTGGTACCTCCTCTGCCAGCTCCTCCGCCGACGTGAAGTCAGTGGGGCTGCCTTGCTTAACTCCCAAACCTGTTCTTTTCTTTGTAGTTAGAGCAACAGAATGGAGAGAACTTTTCGCCACTCGATTTCTTTCTTTTTTCCTTTTCTTTAATGGAGGACACAGAGATCATGGATAGAGTGAACAGCAAATCTTCATCAGCCAGACAGAGACAGTGCAAGCAGAAATCAGCCCAGACATTCAGAGGTCTCAATCTCCCGCATGTTACCAGTGTGATACTGCTCAGTTGTCACCATCTTCAGATAAATTACAGCCTGACCTCAGTAACAGGAATGTCAAGGAGAAGATGCTTTAAGATTTTGTTGCAGATCAGCTGTTGGACTCATCCTCCCACAGCCTATGGTTCATTATAAATACGTTCTGAGAACTCTTCTATACAAACCTATTAACGGATTAGGTTTGCCGCACTTGTAAAACAGTCGTGTGTTAGCATTAAAACAATTCCAAGAGACAAACAGACAAAAGCCCTTAAAAATGCATTTGTTGTATGTGTCTGCAGCTAAAGCACTGCTCGCAAAAGGAAAGTGCCCCCACCCTAGCCTGAGCACACAGCTTACAACAGCAAAATCTTTCCCGCTGCCTGCAACACAGCTAAATGTCCCCAGAGCTTCCGAAACTGTTTATTTTCTACCCGCTGCCTATCCTCCAGCAGCAGAGCTAATGCACCCCAGGCGGCTTTGATCCTGCCAATTACAACTGGAGGAGCACTCTGGCTCTTCTGGGGTATAGCAGGGCCACGGCAAAAAAGCAAGGAATAAAGACAGGCTCAAGCTCCCCCAGGCTATGAGATACGGACCCCAACAGAAGTGAGGATGGGGAGCAATTTTATTCGGAGTTGAGGGGAAGGAGATGGCAGGGGAAGACAATGACCGTGCGTCTAACCGGGTGGGAGGGCTAATTATTCCAGACAGTGGCTTCATCATGAGCCTCTTACAGCTGGGTAATTTCTGTGTTTTCAGTTCTTGTGTATTTAATAGCATTATCAGATGGCATTCTCATTGTTACTGTTGGGTGCTTAAGTGTGCTGTAAACTCAACTTCAGAAGCCAAGTGTCACCCTCCCCTGCCTTCTTCCCATCCAGCCCTGCCTGATACAGTTCACGTTTAATTCCAGAAGGGACTATTTTCTTCTCCCTCTTCATCTTCTCTTCCCTTTAATGCCCTCATTTGCCTTTACACTGTCTGCTTTGGGGAAAAGACTGAATCCATTTATGAATGAAGGCAGCATAAAACAGAACTGTTTCACAGATGCGAACTGTGTCATTCTGAACGAAAGCTGGACGCTAACCCTCCTGCTCTCCTACCCCCATCCAGCACATTTTTTTTTTTTTAATGCTGCTCCTTCTCTGAAACAGACAATTAAACAGAAGAGAGTCACAAACATGAAGCTTTCAAGCACACCAGTACATTAAGGCAACCAACGCACTGCTTTCACATGTGATAACCATCAGGTTTGTACCTCCTTCTCCCTTCCCCGTTCTGTTCACAGAACAAAGCCAGCAATACCTCTAAGAGCACAGGCAATGCCACTCCTGACCACGCAGTCACCATTGTGGCCTGCCCCTGCCACGAACTGATGATTTTTAGCTTCTAAAGCTTTTGGGACCAAGAAGATATCGATGGTATAGTTTTCACAAGCACCACAAACCGGCCAAGGCTGAACCAACGCTGTTAAAAGTTCGACGACTACCCTCCCGCCGCTCATTCACCAACAGGATGATGCTGATGCCAACAGCTTACTCCCACTGTACTCCGCTAACGCTGCCATCAGCATCACTTCTGGGCGTTGCTCTATTGTGTTCAGCCAACTACAGATGCTCCAACCTCCCCCCATGCCCCTTCCCAGCCCAGTGCACCCGGCAGCGCGTCGCGATATGGAGAACTCTCCCAACCTGACTGCAGGCACAGCCCATCACCCCCGTTAACCCCAGTCTGTGCCTCTTCCACCCCTTCTCTCCCACTCTCTGCTGGCAATTTTGGTGCATCTCTCATAATCTACAGTGCAACGTGCTGGTGTAAATATTCCATTGTATCGACATCGGTGTCACAATTAACACCTTTAACACTGAGCCATACATCATCAGTGAAAGAAATCTCAAAACAATCTCCTTTTCCAGGAGTTATTTCTGCATGTCCAACCTGTTTTTTGAGGACAGGTGGCTCAGTACTGCCTTAAAAACAAAAGAAGCTGGATCCCTTTATGGCATTTCAGTAAGAGCAACTGAAATCCCCCAAGCACCAACTCATACTCCGTGTGTAGGAGATGCCAACTAACCCCAGGACAACATGCAACCCTTCCTTCCGTCAAACCTTTTCAAAGCTGCCCTTTGGGAAAGAAAAAAAGATTCTGAGTGGGATCCATCTGCAGCCGCTCCAAGTACACAGCAAACGTGGTATGAATATAACTTCCAGCTTAGATGGGACTCAGAGTGTCTGTGGTGAGACGCTAACTTGTAAGAGTCACTTTTTAAGAGTCCATGGGAGCCCCTTCATTTTGTGTATAGGAGTGAAAAAGTTGTTCCAGATCCAGCAGACAGCATATCAATCCACCAAGAAAGCTGGGAGCCAGTATCAGTAAATCAAAGTGTGCCTTTCTGTTAATACTCTCTCATATGTTCTCATTTTATACATCCCTTCACCCAGTCAGAAAGTAGCCCTGGAGTATTTAGCTCCATTCAGGGAGAGCACCGCCATGTATCAAAGTGTCAGGAGACCCACCAGAGATGAAATCTGTCCTACTGCTCTCAAACCACAAAAATCAATTTTGTCAATGCCAGTGGTTACGGACAAACCGGCTGTGCTGCTGGCATCCCCCCTCCACGGGGGGTGGCTCCCGGCTGCGGGGTACCGACCCCCCTCCCGGGCTCTCCCCCCCGGCACGCAGAGGGCAGCCGTGCCCCCCCAGCGCCCCCCCAGCCCCAGCCCCGCCGTCGCTGGGGACTTGCAGGCACGGCAGCTCCCGCGCTCGCCCAGCGCCGTAAGGTCAGCAGTTCTACAGCGAGGCAGCTTCCCGCGCAGAAAAATAGCTGCGCTCTTTTCCGTGACCTCTAAAAATGGGGTCTCATTTCATCTTCCCAAGCAGCTGCGGAGAGCAGCAGCTGGCGCGGAGCGGCGGGGAGCGGCCTCACGCAGCGACGCTTTAAGTCGACGGAAAAAAGCCGGTGCCTCAAGGCCAGGCTTTCAAAGGTATTCACAGAGAGCCGAGCAGATTCCCAAAACTGCTCCGCCAGGCAAAGCTCCTCCCCACCTGACCCTGGTGCATCCAGCCAGGAGATTCGGAGTACGCCCGTCAGGGATGGAATCCTAAAAAGTGGGGCAAAACTCCCAGGGTTTTCGCTCCCTTACAGGGCGCGACGGGGCCCTGCTGCGGCAGCGCTCCCCGGCAGAAC